ATATAGATATATATATAGAGAGAGAGAGAGAGAGAGAGAGAGAGAGAGAGAGAGAGAGAAAACCTGTGATTGAAAACACACTACAGTGCAACCTGGTCTTTTATTTTGAAAGGTCAGGTTGCTGCTACCGCCGGTCCGCTGGGGGCGCTGTTGTCTTTCTACCATCAAACTAACAGACGAAGAAGACGAAACTCAAACACGTGTCGCTTTCCTCTCGAGCAGCGCGTGTTGTGACCAACAGAAGCTCCGAGCGAACGAGTCGAGTTATCGATTCATATTAATTCAGAAATGACGAAGACGAAGAAGGAGAAGGTGTCTGCGGACGTAGAGGAGGCCGCGGTGGCCGACGGGAACGAGAAGTCGTACCACGAGCTGATCGCTCACGTGAACCCCATCGCTCAGCCGCTGGCCTCCAAGAAGCTCAGCAAGAAGCTCTACAAGTGCGTGAAGAAGGGTAAGAAGAACCATTAAAGAACCATTAACGTTCTCCTGCAGCAGCAGAGCAGTGGGGGGGGGGCTGTGTTCTTCTGGTCAAGCTCACGTGAAACAAAGTGATCTGAAGCTCTCCTCGTGCTGTCCGGACACGTTTCAGTGTTTGTTCAGCATCCTCGTACACAGAGAGGCTCACCATGATATTAATACTGATCCAGGGTTATGTCTTAATAGTCGGATGTGTGAATGATGTTCAGATTAAACTCAGCTCGCTGCGGATCGGAGGAGATTTTCTTCACTTTCTAATGTTTTTAGTCAAGTAAAAGAGTTAAAAAGTGAACATTGTAAAGCTCTCTGTCAGCAGACGTTCCGCTGTGAAGTAGATCTTCTGATCATCTCTATTGTTTCGTTCTATTGTCTTAGGAACCTCTCCACGTGTGACGAGCTTCCTGCAGAGAATGAAGTGATTTTCTCAATAACTCTTCTTGTTTCCTGTCGTTCCAGCTTCCAAAGTGAAGAACATCCGCAGAGGAGTGAAGGAAGTCCAGAAGTTCATCAACAAGGGGGAGACGGGGTGAGTCGGCCATGTTTGTTTCTAAAGGATCACTCGATGACCTCATAGGTCAAAGGTGAGGATGTTTTATTGTGTTATTAATGTGCAGCATCGTGGTGATGGCCGGAGACACGCTGCCCATAGACGTCTACTGTCACCTGCCCGTCATGTGTGAGGACAGAAACCTGCCGTACGCCTACATCCCGTCTAAAGGGGTGAGTGAGACCAGGACCCCCAGGACCCGAGAACCAGTAACTTATAATAACAAGTTATTCAGAATAATGAGGTTAATAAGTCGTTTATCTCAATGTGTGGAGGAGAGTGACGGGAATACAAGAGACATATTCTGAGGCTTAAGAAGAATAATAGTCATATTAATAGTAATTATAATGACAATAAGTACAGATGTACTGAACTGTCTCTTCTTCGTCTCTTAACTTAAAAACTTTTTTATTTCTACTTCCTGCCTCTTAAAGAGGGCTCAGCAGCGACCATCTTTGTTTGTTGTCATGTGACTAAGCCCCGCCTCCTCCTCTCTGGTTCCAGGATCTGGGTTCTTCTGCCGGCTCCAAGAGGCCGACCTGTGTGATCCTGATCAAACCTCACGAGGACTACCAGGACGCCTACGACGACTGCGTCGCCGAGGTGACCGGCCTCCCTAAACCTCTGTGAGACGTCAGCCAATCGGTGAGCAGCTCTTTAAAAAACGTGTTTTATTTAAACGATCACCAAAACAAAACCCTTTGTCAGAGACAGAAGCTATAAAAACATCATTAGCATCAGATTTTCATTGTTACGATGGTCCCCGAACACATCATGTGTTAAAACGAAGCTAAAAATGATATTTAATCAAAATCAAGAGCACAGAGAGAAATGTGTCTCGATGCTTAGAGAGTTAATAAACATTCAGTACTTTTATATCTTTATTTGTTCGTTACATTTTGTTTTACAAAGTAAGGAAATAAATGTTAAAGTCTCCCGATCAATAAACAGGATGTAGCTAGGCTAGCAGTCTCCCCCTGCTCCCAGTGTTTGTGCTAAGCTAGGCTAACGGTTCTTGTTGTTCTGTTGTGCAGGTAAAGAAGAACCCGACGGACCAATCAGGTGGCTGGATTCAGACGTTTGGAGAACAAACTGTAAATACTTCGTGGTTTTAAGACGTCCGACTGTAAAATAACAGTTTGATGATTCAGCAGAAAAGATTTATTTTCTACAAATGTTTTTTCTTTTTTGATCTTTCGTTGTTTCTGTTAAATGTGTCGAGTTTGATTAAAGTAATGTGAAGAGACTCTGGTGTCTGACGAGTCCTTAATGAACCACAGTTCACTTAAACATCACAAACTGTTTATAATGTTTATAAAGAAGAATAACAGAACAGTTCATCCTTCAGCCACACGGGGGCAGTGTTGAGCCTCTGGTCCTGGTGTCCCCTCACAGAGGATCTAAATATGAACTTCTACCTCTGACCACACGGGGGCAGTGTTGAGTCCTGCTGAAGTGACGTCACTATGTTTGTTTATTAGGAGGCTCATCTTTAAAAACATGATCTGATTAAAGTCTCCAGAATCTCTGTTTGAAAAAGACTTCCTGTTCTTTTATTTATTGATCTCACAGCTGGAGTTATAACATATGAAGATTAAAGTTTGTTTCAGTACTGATACTTTTAAATGTAGGATTTCAAGGGCTTCTTTGTACAGGTTCTGGTTTCAGAGGTCCTTGGGGGGGTCTTTTATGAGCAGATGGTTCCAGGCCCATTTATACTCTCTGCATGTCTACGAGGGTTCTAGGAGTCCTTAAGCTGGTCTCAGGAGTCTCAGGGGTTCCATCACTCCTTAAAAGAGGATGTGAAGTCCTTAAGTGGAAACCAAAACCTCTTGAAAGTCTCCAGGACTTCTTAGAGAGAATTCAGATTGTATGAGGAGAATCCCAGAGCTACTTAAGGGGGTTTTAAAGGGTCCTAAGGGTTCTAGAGGACCGTGAGGTGGATTAAGGGTCTATCAATAAATTCTAACAGTCCTTGATGAGGTTCTAGAGGACCGTGAGGTGGATTAGAGGTCTTTTAAATTGTAAAAGTTGATGCCATGGTTCTAGTTAAGAGGGGTTTCAGAGGTGGTTTTCGGGCTTTATTTAATCTGAAGGTGCTTCGACCCGTACTTCATGGTTGTACCCCTCTGGTTGGTCCAGGTTTGGTCCCTGGCCTGAGGAGAACCCCACCATGGTGGTTTATGGTTCATTTCATGAGGCTCAAGTAGCCTTTGAGGAGGTTTCATGCGTCATTGAGGAAGTTCTTGGGGGGACGTTGATATCTTGACACTAAATCTACCTGATACAAGTCGGCAGCATGTTGATGAACCGCCAGAGCAGGTGTAGTGAAATGTTGAGATCCTGAGGACATGAGAAGAGGTTTCTGTAACAGTACTGATTGTAGATTCAGTCCGTCCTGTAAACCTTGTTCAGACTCGTGATGATCTCTCTGCTGTCATGTTCATAAACTCCTGTCAACATCGAGCCTCAGGCAACAGAAACCTTCCATGACCGACCGGCAGGTTGGGGATAAACAGTGCAGGAAAGATCCAGGAGGTTTTTGGATACTTCTGAGGCGGCTCAGGCTTCTCATTTGTCAGTGTTCCTTGGTTCTATATACTTTCAGGGTTCTTAAAGGACGTTGGCAGTCCTTTAGATGGTCGTAGAGTTCCTTGATTGAGACTTTTGAGGGTTTACTTATGGTTCCTTCATGTGGCAGGAGTCATTCAATTAGCAAGTTTGTGAATGTGTTCTGTTGTTTTTGAAGGTTCCACTAATTTGGGGTATTTGGTTCCAGCAATGTTTAAGAGGTTCCCAGCATTACAAGGCAGAGTTTCAGGGGTGACAGGATTTAGGGTTCCCAGAGTTCTTGGAGGGTTCTGTAGTTCCAGTTTCACTCGAGGGGAGTTTCAGGGAATTGCAGGAAATTTTAGCAGTTTCAGGGACCTTGTGCAGATATCAGAGTCCCAAGGGTCCTTGACGAGGTTCTAGAGAACCATGAGGGGGGATAGGGGTCTTTCAATAAGTTCTAACTTGATGAGGTTCTAGAGGACTTTGTCTTGTTTAAGGTTTAAAAGTTTTATCACTCAGCAGAAAAAGAAAAAACGTTTTCTTATTTTTCTTTTGAAGTTTATCAGTCTTTTCTGTCTCAGGTGTGTGTGTGTGTGTGTGTGTGTGTGTGTGTGTATGTGTGTGTGTGTGTGTGCGTGTGTGTGTGTCCGTGTGTGTGTGTGTGTTATGTTATGCAAATGTGAGGCGGCGGCGGTTAGCGGGTCGACCGCACACGCTGCCGATCTCTGCCAGCAGCTCTGTCACTGCTGACGTGCCCTTGAGCAAACAGAGGAAGCTGACGGCTTAGTTATCTTTTCAACGCTTCTCACATTCATACTGCTGAATGTGTAAGACACCGTGAAGGGAAGTACTAATACCACAGTGTAGAAATACTCTGTTACAAGTTTACAAAAGTTGAACTAGAAAAGTATCAGCAGCATATACTTAAAGTACCAAAACTAAATGATGTACAATAATATATATATAATATATTATTGTACATAAATCAGGAGATTTAATCTGACCCTGGACTGATGGTAACCATGGTGAACTGACAGGATATTATGGTCTGTAACAGACGACGACATTCAGCAGGACAAAGACAAAAAGCCTCCACAGGGGGGCGCTGGAGAGCTGGAGGGGGAGACATCATGTTAATCATAGTAATAATAATAATAATGAACTTTATTTATGTCATTAAAGTGATTCACAACAAAGTGAAGGAACAAGAGAATAATTAAAAAGAAAGAAAGAAAACGGAGGAAGAGTGACGATTAAAGTTAAAGACAATAATGAATGAATACGTTTTCAATGTGAGATTTTAAATGTCTGAGTCTATGATGTCATATTTATGAATGAACCGTCCACTTATAGGAAGACAGCTTTATTTTTACAGAAACCGTTCTTTTGCTTTTAGATTGTGGGAAACTGGATGAAGGTGGAAAAGTTGTTATATGGGTGGCCCGACTGGTAGAAGGCATGCTGAGACAGGACAACACACACACACACACACACACACACACACACACACACACACACACA